CAACAACAACACTGTTTGCTGATGCAGAGGACTTGTGTTTTTTTCTTCTTCTTCCTTGATTGAGTCACTAGCAAACCAAGACTAAACTGGCCTGCTACATTGTGGTGCTGTTGACCCCCTGTACATCTTCGGCAATCGGCATGTAGCCTACCTTCCCTGCATTCTTCTTCTTCGGCACCCTTCGGCTCAACATTTAGAGGGGGAGCACGAGGAACACGTCAATAGCCAGGATGCATGCCGATTGCCGATTGCCGATACCGGTACCAGTAGGTCGTAGATACGTAGGTGGTACTACCCGTGGTGATGTTGAGCAAGCCTTTCGCCTTACCGGTACCACTACATTTATTAGTATCTGCTAGCTAGCTACTGTAGTATGCAGGCTGCACCTTGAGGTAATACCGGTACACTCTATCCTAATTGAGTCTTTTTCCCCTTTATCAAAAAAAGTTTCTTCAAAAGTATGTTCTCCTGGAACAGCCTATTTGAGTTGACCAATCTGAATCTGAATTTTAAGAGCCTAATTAGGCTCATAAAATTACAACAGGCTCTTAAGATTCAGATTGGAAAAGTCAGATTGAAAATCTACAGTAGCTAGTCAGATTACACTGGGATCTGACTTCTCAATTTCCAAGCTGAGTTCTAAGAGCCTATTGTAGGCTCTATAGGCTCTTAGAATTCAGATTCAGATTCAGATTATTCAACTTCAACAGGCCTTGTTCCTGAGATTTTACATTTTCTGAAAACACTTTTAGCTTTTTGCTCCTTTGGCGGATATTACTCCAAGGTGCTGGTATCATCAAGACTTACATGTATGATATTTTTTTTAAATTATCGTTTAGTCTTGGCCGCACACTAGATCGGCTACAACGTAGCTGATTTAGGATAAAGTTAGAAAATACGTTAGCACATGCATGGAGCCATGTGTCGAGCCATACTGGCGGCCTGGAGGACGTCCTTTACTCTATCAATAGCTGTGTTGGTAGCATGCTAGCTCTATTTTGGTCTCCATACATGAATATTGATCATTGTCAGTTCGACAGCAATAAAGTAGCCGATTGGCGCACTGGTCTTCCAGTAACGATTGAACGTGATTGGATCATTTTTCTTCATTTCGCTGGAAAGTTGATCCTTGGCCATGGTATCTCCATCTTCTAGTGGAAATGACGGCCCTCCTAGTGGACGAAACCCAGCCAATAGTAGCAACAATGGCCGTGCATCCAGTGGTAGCCAGAGGACTCCAATGCGCAGTGTTATGATGCGTAGATCCCCTCAATCTGAATCAGTTTCAGAAATGACAACACCCTCTCGACATGAAGATCATTCCACGGCAACTGATGCTGGAGTTGATCCATTACAGTATGAGGTAGAGTATGACAGAGCTCGTTACAACGAGAATGCTGGAGATCCAGAATCCGAGGATGAGGGAGAAGGCCCTGGCAACAATGCCATTCTTCGAGAGGTGTCCAATGACAGAAACTTGCATCAAGAAGAAAAAATTTCAGCAATTCCTGTTGAGAGCGACTATCTTGAATCCAATGAACAAGGAAACTCGACAGCTCACCGCTCCATTGAGGGAGCTCCATCAGACTGGAAACAACCGGGTCCACCAGAAGGATGGAAGGCTCCCAAACCCAAGACAGAAAAAGGAGAGCCAAAAGAATTCAAGTTGGTGGACAATCCGGGTGGTTGGTCTCCATACGTCTTCACTGCGAAATTCAGAAAGGCCAAAGATGCGAGAGACAAGAAGACGTATGCATATCATTCGCTTCCAACTGGAGCCACACCTGTCCCAGTGGATGAAGAAACTGGCAAGAGACGATTTGGTGGATTTGAGTTTCATTATTCTGGCTGGAATGGTGCCGACGACCCTCACTTCACACCCTACCGCCATGGAGCTAACAGAGATAATATGTTCCCAAAGGAAAGGAAGGGATGCCTTGATGCAGAGAAGTTGGCAGCCCTTGGTCTCAATAAAAATAGAATGATGCAAGCAGATGGCGCTCCAGATGCATTCTTCTTTTATCAGTTACTTCTTCCGGTTTGTGATCCATCCAAGTCTGGTGTTACTTCTGATCCAAGGAAAGGATTTTACCACAATGTTTCTCGTTGGTCGAATCTGTATGCCATGGGTGAACTTGAACTTGGAAATGGATATGGTCACGACTTTAAATGCACAAATCCTGGTGAGCTTGTTCGATGGGATGGAGTGGTCTACATGGATGGTGTATATGGAGGTAGTGATGGAGCCTTGATGAGACGTTTCGACAAAAGAGAAGGAAACACTGCTTTTTGTCCTCTTGTCAGTGGTTCGATGACAAAATCAAGATGGTTGGAAATCAAGAGAGTGTACAAGCTTTGTAACAACCTTCAAGTTGCAAAGAAAGGGGAACCTGACTATGATCCGGCTTACAAATTTGACTACATCTACAAGGTCCTGATCCATAATTGCAATGCTGTCACTAAGCAAGCAGGCCTCGATTTGGCTGCAGACGAGACGTCCTGGGGTTTCAGTGGCTGGGGAGAAGTTGGAAGTGGACTTGTTTCCCTCATCTTAAACAAACCTCACATTCACAAAGGAGGGCAAATCGTCTTGGCTACAGATGTTGACCGAATCCGTCCAAGAGCTTATGTGCACCGTCACAACCTTCACAAGCGTCCTGAGAACTGGCACTGTACTGGTGGACAGCTTGAAGCAAGATTCATCCTTGACAAGCTGTTTCCCATGACAGTTGGCTATGAAATGGGGGCACATTGCTTCACCCCCCAGAAGATCTTCACGGATTTGCCTCATCTTACTTGGGACAACCATTTTTCAGGAGATAATGTCATGAACTATGCTGCTGCAAAGGGATTCGGCATGACAATGACATGACGCCGTGACAGATTACCTCATGGTATTCCTTCTATGTATTTCCACAAGGAGAAGACTGCTGTCAACCCAAAGTCCAAGGCGGCTAGATTTGAACGTCCTATTGTTGTCACGAAGCATGTGACGCAAGAATCCACCATCGTTCATTGTTCCTTCCAGTCAACATCATCATGCAATATTGCTACAGTGAATGCCCTTAACCGCTGTGATCTTTATGCACACACCAAGGAACGTGGAAGAGCTACTAACAAAAGACAGTGGGCTATTGAGATGAATGAGGCTCGAGAACTGTATCTAAAAACTTATGGTGCTGTGGATAGATTGGATCATATGATACAGAACTGCAATCTCTGCTACCGGTATGTACAATGGTGGACACTCTGTCGATTGCCGTTTCGGTATTAACTCGCTCATTGTTTTGCTTTTGTGGTAGATCGTGGAAATATTGGCATGCTGCCATGCTCCATGCAAAAGGGATGGCCATTGTTGTTGCTTATGACATGTACCAGGAATGCGCGGAAGGTGGCTTGAATGAAGATTGGAAGGTAAAGCCAATCGATTTTTGGAGATTTCGAGAGAAGCTTGGAAAGCAAATGTGTCAATACAACCCAATCCATCGTGGATACCCTGGCGATGAGAACTTTCGAGTTGCCACAAAGCAGTCTCTCAGAGTTCGCTCAAAATCTCCACCAAGATCAAATTCCAAAAGAAAAAGAGTGGCGACTCCTGACAGTTCGACTGCATCAATGATAACAGCCCAGGATCTTCATGACGCAAAGGGTAGATTGTGTGGTCGACTTGATGGCCTTTGCTCACATATGGAGACTGTCAAAAGGCTTCCCAACAACAGAAGCAGAATATGTGTCGTCTGTGGAGAGAGCTGCTCTCATGAATGCAAGAAATGCAACAAAGCCATGCATTGTGTTGATACTCAAAACAAGAAGAAAAACAAGGAAGCACCAATCATTGATGACTCCATCAGTTGCTTTGTTCGCTACCATGACACTTCTTTCTTTGGCTTGGCGAAAGAGGATTGGGAAATCCGTGGAATCAAGAAACAAGACTGGTGCTTTCCAAGCAAGCAGATCCGCTCGCAGCATGCAATGGCCATGACTGATCTTCACAATGATGCTCTGAAAATCCGAAACAACAATTCTCCTGCTGCTGCTGCTACCCTCAACAACAGGCCCGCCTCAGTGTCCAACAGAGCCACAAGCAACAACAAGGATAATGGTTCCGATGATAGCAGTGATGATGAAAATGTGCCTTCAAATCCAAATAATCGAATCATGTGATGGGTTGTTGGATGAATTGCTGACAACATCATCATTGTGATGTTGTCAGAGCTAATCAAGAGATCGGATACTAATGCCTAGGCTGCAACTGCAACCCATGCCTCCAATTCTGTCCTTTTAGCTTCTTGCCTCTCTCAAGACGATTGTGGGAAACTCTTATTGCCGTCTCTCGATGAACGACGGTGGCGCTGTTGAGTGGTTGTCGACGTGGTTGTCGACGACAACGGCCGGCCGGCCGGCCGTCGATGAGATGAGTGGTTGTGGACTGTCGGCCGTCGAGATGAGTGGTTGTTAGCTGCCGACAATGGCGCTGTGGAGTGGTTGACGACGACGACGGCAGCACAACAACAACAACAACAGATGAGTCAGTTTGTGTGGTGGCGTCAACAGCAGCAAGACGTTTTTTGTCAGTTTGTGTAGAAATTGTACCATGTGTGGCTGTGGATGTTGTAGCTGATTAAAGAACAGTCTGTAAAACAGCAACCATGTCGCACCATCTGTTTTGGCTATTCTTTCTACTGTTCTATTGTACCAGGTTTTTCCTATCTACAACGTAGTGGGAACACTTTTCAATGGCTACACTGTTGCCGGTACCTGAGGCCAAGACTAAACGATAGTGCTCTGGCCGAAGCTATCCTGACCCACACTTGCTCCTTTTGAACGGAATGACGTCATCGTCGAAGGTGACATCAGCCTGCCTCCCATTCGCATAGGGTGTTCACAGTACGTTTGTTTGCTTTGGGTGCTACTACCTGGTACTGGTGCTAGCTAGTCTGCCAGCATCAGGCTGTGTGAGTTATTATATGTACTTCGAAGTGGACACCATTTGAACGATAATGAAGAATTGCAAAGCACATCTTGGCTGTTGCAAGGTGGTATGGTTGTTCTCCTTTTGGGGCATTCTTCACAGTCCAAGAGCTTTCGCGTTTCTGTTCACTGCTTCGAAACAATCATGGCAGACATCTCATCGTTCGCTTCATCCATTGGTGCCCCGACCATTGTTTGCCGCCGACAAATTCCAAGAAGACGACCAACCAGACCTAGTATCAGCCCTCATGGAGGATGATGACAGTAGCATCAGTATCTCGAGCTCTCCTTCTTGGGCCCGGTACGCACTTTTGATCTCGTCTTTTACGGATGGGATTTTGGCCTCCCCACAAGCGCAGTCCTTCCTCAAGCACAGCCTCGCATGTTCCCTGCTGGCTGAACGAGTGCGCAAAGCAGAAGCTCAAGTACGCGAATCGGTCATGGCCAGTCCCTGCAATGGACCTAACATGGAGGCATTTAATGCTCTGGAGGAATACGATGAACAATTATTGCAATCCACTTCCGACTGTGACGACGCTTCGGCCAATCGATTGCTGCAGTCGCTGGGGACCGGCATGAAGGGAAAACCAAATGTTCGAATCCTGTACATACCCACTGCAATGTATGCTCTCAACCCAAACAGTGCCAACACCCCAGGAAAGCAGCGACAAAGAGCTCGTGCCGATGGCAAAAAGCGGCGAAATCAACTGGTTCAACATTTGGAAGATTTGCTGGGTCCTCATCTGCCAGGTGAGTCGAGTCCACTTACAGACAGCAAAAATCAGGTCCACTCATTCGTCGTCTGGTGAAGCAACATGTTCTCCTAACTGGTGTCTTGTTTGTTTGTTCGTTTTGTCTTGGAAAAGAAGCATCGGTTTTGGCCATCACCCTGGATCTCGATGATGGATCATTGAAACAGCCGACAGGTTCCGACGCGGCTGCTGACTTTCCAGCTGTAAGTGAGCAAAAAATCGCTAGAATCAAATCCCGTGTTCTACCAAACTGGTTGTTTGCAACCACGGACGTTCTCACATACCGTTATACTCTCTTTTTCCATCATTATTTCTTTCCACTATGTGACAAAACAAGGACGGTGTGGAAGCCTTGACCACATGGGCTCCTCATATTGTCTATGTAGAAGGAGGCAACACATTTTGGTTGCAACATTGTTTGGAAAAGGGAAGCTGGGCGTCGCATTTGCGAGCTGCTTGTACAGGACCCGATGCACCGTCGGTGTATATTGGTAAGAGTGCGGGCGCCATCATTGCCGGCGCCACCGTCGCAACGGCCACATGGAAAGGATGGGATGATCCATCCGTGGTGCCAGGCAAAGAAACCTACGACGATTGGAAAGGCCATCCAGGGCTTGACATGGTGGGATCGCAATCCTTCTTTCCTCACATGAGTGATGATTGGGAGAGCACGGTAGCCGAAAAGCGACAAGAAGTTCAACCCAAAGAACTTTCAGATAAGATTGTCTGTTTGAGAGAGTACGATGCATGTTGCGTTGACGGAAGCGATCAAATCATGGAATTGGTGTCAGGTGTCGAAGCTGCAGTGGCGCAATAAAGGCTCAACGCATGGGTGTGTGGGTGGATTACAATGCATACAAACACTGCCTACGGGCTGGCCGGAGGAAGAAGAGACATTGGACATCGGATCCCTAAATCCATTCTGTCTCCAAAGGATCGCAAATATAGATCTGGAATTCACGTGATATGCGCACTTCGACAGGAGTGCAGGCATGGTCTCGGTGTTGCTTAGTGCTAGCGGTGTTTCGTGCGGCCTTTTGAAGAGGAGTAGTGGGACCCGGATTCGAATTGGAGCTACATTCACGGTAATCATCCATCCACGCAATGAACGGAGGACACCCCGCAGCAGCTTTCCCCAGGCTAGCTCTTTTCAATGTACATGTAATTGATTTGGCGCTGTAATCCTGAACAATTCTTGTAGAAAAATTGTCATTGCCAAAGCTGTACCGGCAATTGACAGAGAGGATATTTCTTGGTAAGGACTCCAGGTAGTTCGATAGTACCGGTAACTGTATCGTTTCCATGTGACACTAAATATGCATGTCTTGCAACATGTGGACAAGTCCGCAATGCGAAGTCGGAAAGGCACCACTTCTCCATTTTGACAAAATTGATTTTGGCTCGGTGATGGCTGCAACTGTTAATAGTTTGGGCCAGTTCAGTTTTTTTTGTTTTGTTGGTCGGATGCTCTTGTTTCTGCGTTCTGGGCAACACTGCACGGCCGTTCTTTGATCAGAGTCATGTAGGTGAGAGGCAACCAAGCATGTTCCCTTACTGCCCAAACCATCATCGCAACTTAAGCAGCAACCACCAGGGCCAACTGTACGAACAAATTTCAATTAGACTACAAATGGTTGGTACTGTATCTTTAGAACTGCTACAACTAGTCATATAAAGTTCCCTTCTTGCGTTCTTCTTCTTCCTCTGCTGCTGTTGATGATGATGACTTGTCATTCCTAAAAGGAGGCCATTCTTGCTGGTCTTGCTCGGGTTTTCGAGGGCGGCATCTGCAGGCTGGCCTTTGCGCGGTTTTTGCTCTTCTCGTGCTTGTCATTGCCTCCCTTCTTCTTGAAGACACGACCACCAAACCAGCGCTTTTTCTTTGTTTTGGTTGGCTCTCCAAATTCATCACTTTGAATTGTGCTGGTAGTCTCATGGGAGGTCGAATCGTCGCCCAATCCCAATAGTTTATCAGCATAGTCCCTCGAGCGTCGACCGCTTGCCTTTTCCATCTGGACTGGCTGGGCTGCCTTGTCCGGAACCCTCAGTCGAAGAGATCCCAGAATGTCATCTTTGTTTCTAGTTTCATCTAGTGTTTCCTCATCCAATGACTCTTTGTCTTCGCCTCCTTCTTCAATATCTTCACTAAAGCATACGCTGTCTTCTTCTTGTGTATCGTTGTCGCTATAATCGGCGCAGAGTCTGGTACTACGGCCAAAGTACTGTGAGAGGTTGTGGTTGGCTGCTTTATCTTCGGGACTTAGATTTCGGAGAGATGGAGCTGAGTTGAAGTAGGATGGAGCGCCCAACGAATACTCATAGGTCGAGAAATCGTCATCGCCACTGTTTTCATGAAACATCTTGGACATCACAGAGATCATGGACATGTTATCCACAACAAAGGTGGAGTCGCGCAAGGTTGGCCGGTCGTCCACGGCAAACCTGTCGCTGTTTGGGCCATTCATGAGATTGATTTTTCCTTGGATACGGGTGAGATGTGGTCGTCTGTTTAGTTGTTGTTGTGATCTTGTACTGGTACCTTTTGCCTGTGGGCTACGATAATGTTGATGATGGTGTTTTTCGCCGAAATGTGGCATGGTTTTCTTGTTCCTCGAGAGAGGTCTTGAGAGGGGTGGAACGAACAGAGAGAGCGAGAGAACGATCGAAACGGTTTTCTTTCGTGGAAGTTGTCAAAATGTGAGCACGGAGAGTTTGGAACTCAAGGCTTCGGAGTTTTCTTTTCCACGCTGGTTGCTCGTTCCTGTCACGTACTGTACTGTTTTAAGTCCCACTTGACAGATGCTGGGGCAAAACGCTGGTACGAATGTTCCGCTTCCGCACATAGGAACGACCTGGATCCTGCATCAATTACAGGCAGATGCCGCACGTGAATACTCTCTGGTACCTGGTACTGCATGCTCACAGCTTGGCAACATCAACAAGCAAACACATGCCATCATGAAGACTGGAGATTGCTCTGTTTGGTACCGGTATACCGGTATGGCGAGAGCAAGGGAGGCTCAGCACAGCCAGCCACATTAAACGTATCTGGAAAACTGAGCCCGTGCCTCTTTGGCCGTGGGGGAGTATCCTCACCTCCGCGTCCAACAAAAGGGCCCCCGTACCCTATTGTACCGGTACATGTAGCTTCGTCTCATTTTTTGCCTTCTCTATGCTGGATCACAGGTTCACACCACTTACTTTCCGGTACGGGTACCTCCTTTCGGGCGTGCTATTGTGCACTGTGCAGGTAGCCAGGCAGAGCTAGATACTGCGTGAACCCGTACATGGTTTAGTTACCGAGGTGCAGCGTCATAGATATCTAGTACTGTTCCGGCCGGTATGTGCGAAAACACTCACATCGGAGCGCAAGCATCCGGTAAGCTGGATTTCTTTATACAGTTTCAGTTGCTTGCGAGCTCGGTCCGTCGTAGCTGACGTATTGGTACCCGCTTTCATAATGGAGGCTACAATGAAGTCAATATTAGTAGCCACGCTACTGGCTGCGGTAACATCAGCACCCAACCCCGAGCAAAACATTCCTTCTTGCTTGGTGGCTGACTGTCCAGAATCCAAGGCAGCACAGCGATCTCACCAGGCAAGAGGCCGTGTTCCCCGGCGTGCTCTTTACTCACCTCCGTTTCATTGTCGCTTGCCCCCCTCCACACTATTGCTAGCTAGCAAGCTAATACAGCAGCGTTTACCGAATTAGGAAGAGCGCCGTCTCCTCGCGATCAAGCAAGAATGAGCCGAATAGCTGGGCAAGCCACCGGACCAATCCACACTCAAAACAACATCGTCTTGTTGCAAAAAGAAAAAAGGAGGCGGTGACACAAATTCATCAATACGAACCACCACTTCGGGTGGTAGAATACTCAAATGCCGGCGCATCCATAAAAGGCAAGTATCCTTGCGTTTTTGCATCATGGTCTGACAGTCAGCCACACTGCGATTGGCTGTGGCGGGAGTAGAAGATCGAGTGACATTATCCCGGGCTTTGCTTTCCCCCCAGGGTTGCGGACAGTCCTGCAGTAGCCCGATTGCCATCTCCTGACGAAGCAGTTTCATTTCCCCCACGAAAACATTCGGAGTGATCTGACCCCCGTATCTCATTGGCAATAGTTCCGTGGGGGCGCTGGTGACCTTGAGGCTAACGACACCTGCCGCCGTCGGAGGTTGTGATGGTTCTTCTTGGGGTGTGGTGCGGTGAATGTGTTTTCGTGTCACCATGCGTTGGTACCGATCCGTTTCTACGAAGCTAAAGTTGCCTCCGTACGGGACAACATCTATTTCCTCACTCATCTGGGGATCCATTTCCACAGTGCCTTGAAGCACGTGGCGTTCGGTTGTTGTTGTTGTTGTTGTTGTGGTGGTGGTATTTGTAGTAGCATTTGCTGAAGTATTGGCATCTGTTGGTTGCTGACCTTGGGTATCCGTGGGTTGCTGTACCACTGAAGCTGTTTTAAGGGTTAGAGTTCCTCGAGCTGTGCGGTGGTGTCGCAAGAAATATTTGTATTCCCCTCCGTAGTAGATGATATCGTAGGTACCTTCCATGAACTGACAGCTTGGGAGAAGACCCTCAATGAGTGGATCGTTTCTATTTGTAAAACTGCTTTCTTGGATGTGTTCCACTCGTTCAAAGTAGTTGTCTTCTTCCACTACAATTCCTGGCATGAAACCTCCAGCGCTACCAGTAGTACCGGTATGCTGAGAAGCAGCGCCAGCAGTGCTAGCATGCTCTTCACTGGAGGCACATCCCTTGATGAAGGCGACACTGGTAGCAGATAAACCTCGGAAAAGGTGGTCGTGACCGTACCAAAAGTACCGAGAAGACCTGTGATTCTGTGTCAGAGAGGCAGGCCACTCGATGGTGCACTTTTCAGGTTCTGTAACCCATTCATAACCCACTCCAACGGCCCTTGTCGCGCTCCTTCGTATCCTGGCTTGGATCAGAGGCATCTGCCTCTCGACATCCTCATCCAACAGGAAGGCTTTCTGAACAAGAAAAGACCAGAACGAGGGCGGGCTTGCCGTTTCCTCTTCTTGTCTCTTCCTTCGTTGCTCCGCATCGTCGTCCTTCATGGTGTGGATTGTGAATTGTGAAGTTTAGCTTGGCTCAGCTCTCTCCTCTTCGGTTCCCTTTGTGGCCTGTGCAATGTACATTTATCATCCCCAAAGCACCACAGTCAACATCGAGCAGCAGGGCAGTTTCGGACGGCTGCTGCTGTTGGCTAGTGGCTGGTGCATGATGGACATTATCGACAGTGGACAGCGCTTATGGATTCCGTTGATCGAGGGAGATCTCAAAGCAGCTGGGCAATAAGTAAAATCAGAAAGGGATCAATCCAATTAACATTCTCTGTGTGAATGAAAAGAAAAAAACGAACACAAAAGATTTATGTTCCCGGATTCAGTCACAGTTAGGGCAAGAGCCCTAGCCCTAACAGCCATTCCAATAGTTAGAGCAAGCTTGAAGAGCGAAAATTTATGTTAGATTTGTGAGATGCTGAAGCAAGACGCCCCAGAGCCCGGACAAGATGTGCCACCGAACTTACTCGTAGTACTCCTTGCAATAGCCCACAACCAATAGTGTAGCTATCCGTCGTTTTGGCAACCTAAGATCGTGGCATTTGGGGTCGGATCCCTCTGCTGTGGTGGAAGCTTTTTCGGCCTCTGCATACCTGATGAAAGCAGCTTGAATGCTTCATGGCCAACCAATCTGCTCAAGTTGGCTTGAACATGGCACAGATGCTCCTGAGCTGAACGGCCTGCCTTGATGTACTCCCCTCTGAAACAATTATTGTTGGCTTGCTCAATGAAGCCTGCATTGGCGGCTAAGGTACAGTTGATGCTACCGGTATCCTTTGAGCCCGTAATGTCCACCGTTCCGCGCACAAGAAAAGACAGGCAAGGCCCAACCCTCCAAAAGAAACGGAGATGGCCATTTTGATCAAACTTCATCCAACCATAGCGGTAAGCGGCATCATCAGCCTGAAGCCATCTTTGGGTTTTGACCAGTGGCTGGGCTTGGATCCGCTCTGTGGCGCTGCTTTGAGAGCGCGTTTTGATTCTCAAAAGAAGCAAAGCAGCTGTCCACGGCTCCTTTTGATCATCTTCTTGTCTTCTTCGATTGATGATGTACGCTCATGACGGGCCGCCAACTGTGGTTCTCCTGCGGCGCTGCATCCCAGCCATTGCGTTGCCAGAGTCTTGGCCAACAATCACAAATCTCAGAATGGGCAAAAGTTCTTGCGGAAGCTTGAGCAACCGAAAACGATCAAAAAGGACAAAATGCTCTATCAACGGGCTGAACAAGGTGGAGAAAGGTCAAAGCAAGTGTCCACCTCTTCAGAGTGGCTGATCAATCTCATTGGAGATACATTCACTCGCTTCCGTGTGCAGGTGGGCCCGCGGACATGTGTCACATTGAACAGCCTCGAGAGGGCGCCCCACAAAGCAGCGGGCATACTGTGCCACCCACCAGCATGACAAATTCAAAAGGCATCAAAAGTGCTCCAGGGCAGCAACGGCAACAACAACAAGTGACCGCCACCAACACAGAGAAGCGAAGGTTCCACCACATGGTAAGCAGCACTCTGCCATGCGGATTCGATTCCTCTTACGTTCAGAAGAGAAAGTCTGCGGCGCCGGCAGTTTCAGAACCCCTGCCTGCAGCAGCCGCAACAATACAGCACCATACACAGATAAAGCCACAGTGGCATGTCTCAGCTAATCAAGCATGCACCGCGGTGTAACATGCGTATTGTTGGTTGATTGATTGTATTGTTTCCAACTACAATGCAATGGGGTTTTCGAAAGAGGATGACGCGGATTGTCATGATGAGTTCCAACATCTGGTGGGGTATGGGAAATTGATTGTTTTTGCTTCCTGCCGATTTGCACGCGAATCGAATCACCCAGCACAAGGATCATTTCCTTACCAAAGATGACGTCTCCCAAATGCAACGAAGTTGTATTCTCTTCGCCGGGAGGGTCGGAATGAAGCAAAGGTCTGGGTGGCAATTTTTCCGCGCATGGATTCTTTCATTGGAAAATGATTATCACGCCAGAAGCGACAATTGAGTACAGCTCAAATTTCACCGGATCCCCTCCCCCCAGTGATTATCCTTGGGCTGGCTTTCCGCCAATAAGAGATTGGAAAGGCGAACAGATTCTTGGCTGATTCCGTAGTTAATCTCTTGGGGCGTAAATTGTTGACAACCTATCTGATGTCTTCATGTGCCATTGATCAAACCAATGACGAATGGCTCCTGGATGACATGGATGACATCAAGTTGGGCTCTGTTGATGGAGAAAAGTTGTTCTGGTCCCAAGAAGAAAGAGGATTGGACATTTCGGTAAGATGTCGACATCTAGGAGGGGCTTTTGGATCCCACAGGTGTTAACTCCAGTGGCCATATTGTCGGCTTGGGAAATAGAATCCGCAAGGATTAGCTGCAGGAAGTTTCAGTAGCTGCATGCATCAGTGTTACTCGACAAGCAGTTGCGAAATTGCCAAACCAGAGGAATCGGCTGTGTGTGCATGATGTATCATTCCGGGGCAGCACTGCTGAAGTGAAGAAACCACGCTTGTGCCAAGCCCCGAGCCCAGTTTATGACAATGATTTGTTCACACTGGATGCATTGGGCATGCCCAAAGAGGACATCATAGTTCTTTCAAAGGGCTTGGCTGGGCACCATTGCACCTTCCAACCAGAGCTCAAGTGTCGCATACAACTGCACGTTGCGGTATACAATTGCACGTTGGACAGATCGAGCTACTGCAATACCCGGCGGGGTGAAACACAGTGACGGCTGTGTTTCTGTCCAATTCAAGACAATCATCTGAATTGTTCTATTTTTCAGCGCTACAGCGTACTGTACACACGTGTCTTGCCCTGTGTCCCCAGCTTGCCTCTCTCTGCGCTTTGGACAGCAACTCCCCAACTGAAGACAGCACAGGGCCTCCTCCAGCGTTTCCAAGGGATTCCATGAGGCGACATGAACAGGCATCGGAATCGATTGGGGAGTTCGGGGTTGTGTTATTGGCACAGCCGTTGCTGAACAGAGCTCTTGGACGTGAGATTTCAATACACAAGCGATACTTGAGATTCATGATCATCCCTCACAACCCATGTGGATTGCCCAGAACCAAGCTCCTTCTGCCAATGTACCAGACCGGACAAGAGTGACATGCCATTGTCATTCAGTGTTGGGTTGGGTTGATGAAATCAACACCCCGCTTTCTCTTCCAATTGAAAGGATACCATGCCGTCAGTGGGTATTCAACTACTGCACTACTGCAAATACCGGTACAATGGCTGAGGGCCCAAAAGTTGACGGGTTGGAATGGTTCTCCCGCAAAGAGGATCCAAAAGGCCAAGGATGCAACGGGTACTACAGTACAAACATATCTACGGTACCAGTATCCCAGGGCGCTTCCCATCCTATTGGCTTCTCCTGATGAGCAAGGAGGGCAAGCAGATGATGATAGTGTACCGATTGGCAGCTTTTCACTGGGTCAAAATTTCACCGTTCTCTTGTGTCCATGTTGGTCGTAAAAGTCGATAAGTCTTTTCCGGTTCCAAAAGACTATGCATTTTTTTGATATTTCACCCTCCAAACCACTATCTCCCAGATCAGGACTACCGGCGGTACTAACTGTATGCAACAATAAAAACAAGAGGGAAGAGCTTGGCTGGCGATTCCAAGGCATCTCTCTCGGTGAAGCACAGCGGTACATAGAGCAACCCCAGGCACCCGAAGATGGTGCTCTGGTTCCATGCATTGACCCAAGATCGCAGGAAGGCTGTGGCGACGAATAGACACCATTCGTTGCAGGTCCTCCTTTGATTGAAAGGTAACTTCATTCCCTGCAGAGCTTGCAACGGAGGCACCCTCACTTGCCTGTGCACCCCAACCGACTGTCACGTTTTTGGAAGACTCGACTCGTCCCAGCATCTCATCTAGGCGCATGGGGTTGAGACCAGCGAGATGGGCCGAGCTCTCGATTCGTCACTGTCTGTTGTCTCAGGCCTTACGGTTTGATTGTAGCACGAGGGAACAACAGCAGGAACTTTTGTTGTCCTCTGGTAGACCTGGGGGGCTATCCAAGCCCGCACCAAACATCTATCCTGAAAGAGCACCTGCGGAAACATATCGTACATATGCTAGAATCTTATGGTCAGCCGGGTGATGGCTGTGAATGCAGTGCCAGAATCCACTCAATACACATGCATCGCAATCGTTCAAATCTATAATATTCTTATCGAACTAAATGATCTTGCTGATGTACCCTCGGGGCATCCAGATATGCGAATTGGGGATGCGTCTTTGCATTGGGGGGCGTTTGCCGTGCCCACGCCCCGCTGATCTGTCTCGGGCGGTGCTCATCAGAGTTACTATCATAGGCAGGCATGACTTGTGCTCCCGTTCTTGGTTTTGGCGCAACGGCCTCGCCCTGCACCCTGCACCGCAACACTGATCTTCTTTTTCGACGAAGGAAATCTCTGGATACCGGTACTTGCGGATAAATTGGTTGGGTAGCACCACATGTAGCTTGGGCGGACACAAACGAAGCAATCCAAGATTAGATCATCTATCTTTTGCAAGTTGGGCAACCTTCTGGTTTTCGAGCGTTCCTCAATGAGAGAAAGAGTGGAGATAATCAGCCCTGAGAATCCCAAACACATCTGGCCTGCCTTGTGGTTTGGGGACTACATGTCTGAACAGCAATGTCACCAACTTGCGTCATGGACGTTCAGTGGGAAGACTTGTGGAAGCAAGCGGAAGGGTGCTACTTGCTTGAGAGGGTCAGGGAAGCTCAGTTTCAAAGGATGCTCCAAAAGGCTCTACAGAAAGATTCGGAGGTCCGCGACAAAGCCGTTCAAGGTTGCCTGTTGGGTGGGGGAATATTGCAGTTAGTCAATGCCCTGGTGCAGAAGTTCATCAAAGCGTAGCGTGTGATTTCTACGTCCTTGGGTGGTGGTTGATTCGTCGCTTATTGCTACCGGTAGCAGAGGATATCAATCATCAAGGAATAATTTGGCATCATCTCCTTTGATTGTCCAGTTTGACCAGGATTGGCACTGCACAAGAATGGACGATTGCGTACCGATGTTGGCACACAGGACGCCCACGCCTCATTCTTAGGGGGGTCGGGGGAAGTCGGAAGCAGAAGGCAAATGCAGAGTGGGGAACCTGAGTCCACGGGAGGACTCACTCTCAGACTGAATTCGATGCTTCGATTTTTTGCACGTCTTGTTCAATACGAACAGGCCGGAGTGTGTTCGCTCGGTATGATGCAATGCATGTGTCATCGCCACTGAGAGCGTCAATGTGACAACGTTCCTTGTGTGGTTTGCGCAGCTTCATGACATCTCTCAGACCAGATACAACAAACATGCGGTGAACGAGGAGCATCATTGCTACAGAGAAATGTGGTTTGTTGCAAAGAATGACTCTTTCGCCTCTTCTGGAACGAGGTGCGGGCCTTTGTCACCAAGGAGGTAAAGGTGCAAGAATGGCATACTGTAACATGCCAAAGAGCTCCAATGGAAACCTTGAACCTCCTGCAAAACTATAGCGGCATAAAACCATTTGAGCACAATACCTCATGTGAGGCGTTTGACCTTTTTGCAACGGTCATCATGCTTGGTGGAGGCTCATTTTGGATACTTTCTGCAGTGGCTAGTTAGGCCGCAACAACACCAAAGGAAAGCGAGGAGATGTATACTATTACGGCTGTTGAATTCCTGATACTTGCTACACCTCCTGCAGTCAAGATCTTGCATGCGGTGGATCTTTGAAATGTTTTTTGGCCTCTTATTTCCCCCATATTCACGAAACATACATGGTTGTTTGGTGGTTCTTTGCTGATGTTGGGGTAATTTCTATTGCCTTGCAGTCTCTAGCTACGGGTACCGGTAGCTACTACTAGTACTAGTACCGGTACGGGCTGTACTTGGTAGCTTGGTAGGGCTACGGGTAGAGCTTTGAAATCATGCATGGTGGGCTGCTGTGGCGTGCAACATGGGTGGTCATCGTTCAGTGATTGTGCTGTCGATTTTAAACCTCTCAAACTGGAGAAGAGAGGGCCGACCACGGTGGGAAGGTGGGTAGGCCAGCCGGAGGAACACCCCAGGAACAGTTCACTCTCCAATGGTCTACCGGTATGTGTGGCCTGCTGCCAAACTCTGAGGCATCGGACCTCCCCTGTGTTGCTCCCTTCCAAACAGCCCCTTGGCGGTGGCGGCCGAGAAGGCTTCAAAATGGGGTCACTCTTGTCTCCGTGCTCTGGCTCCAGCATGCACCCATCTCCTCGATGGTTGCTGCCCATTTCTGCAGGTGTTGCTTTGCAGCAGTTGCTTTGTTGGCACGCTGGCTGCCTTGCCCGATCCTTGCCCGATGCAGCTCCGGTTCGTTTCCATGGCATACACCAGAGCTGGTCGAACTTCTGCCCCCCCCCCTGGGACGGCAAGTACAGCGTATACCTTCGGTGCTTGTGTCCTCCTAAACCCTTGTGTGGCGTTTTCTTTTTACGTTTAGAGGATTGGGTCCTCTGGTTGGTCATTGCTGGTGTGCTCTGCGATACTCTTTCCCTCTCTGAACAACCGATTTTGGCAATTCTGTAACCCCACAGCCACGACTTTTGGTCTTACTTGGTCGATGGTTTCCATATCGTTACCCCTAATTGTACTACTCTGCATGGTGGGCCCAGAGCAGTAGCGGTACCGCTACCGTACTAGTACCACCTCGCCCCCCAGAGGATTAGGATTGTACCGTACCGCATGTTTGCAGGCTGGAGGATAAAGCATGTGCACGGGGCCAGGGACAGAGACGCGGGTGGTGCTTCTGTCAACCCGGGAGAAGCAAAAGCCGAGGTCGGTCTAGACGTCTCAGAGTCACTGTTGCGTTACCTTGCGTTGTTTTTAGCTAGCTAGCACTAATCTGCATTCCAAGCTGAGAAGTTTGCGACAACTTGAATCTCCATAGGTACGATGTAGCGACAAGATAAAAGCACCTTAGCTGGAACTTTCGCTCTGTTTGCTGCCTGTTGACGAGTTTTGCTGCCTGAGGCAGCTGCCAAGCTGTTCGATAATCAGTAATGCGACACCACCCAGGCACAGGATTCAGGATGAACACCAACCAATTGATAAACAGCTTGCTGAACTGGTTTGTGTGAAGACATCTATCTACCGTATAGTTCAGGCAGGGTCGTTGACTGATACAGACAAGACTTGACTAGATATCCCACAGGCTTCACCGTCATACTAGTAGCTACCAGTAGTATGGCATAGCTTAGCAGGAATAAATGGGCGCGAAGAAAGCTGGAGGGAAATATGCAAATAATTATTTTTAGAATGGAGTAGAGTTATTGTAGAGTAATCGAACACCAATGATAGCGCTGTATTCAATGAAAGAGGCGGGTTGCTTGCGTGATTAAGCTTGAGCTGGGAAAGCTGGCGAACCTGGGGCGGCGCCTGTTTGGGTCCAACGCCGACTCAACCGCTTGTACATTTTCTGGAAGCTGCTTCGCCTCTTGCCTTGACGTCGGATCTTCTCCTTCCCCTCGTTCTCGCTGCTGGAAGACAGCAAGCAGTCAAGAGCATATTGCTCGCCCACGGACAATTCACGGGTCGCCGGTGCGCTATCTGGGATGACAATGCTTTCACCCAACAAGCACTCGAGAGCAAACTTTTCATTCGCTGTCATGTTGGGGTTGGCGAGTACGTATGGAAGCGACGATGAAGACTTCGCCATGATATCCTCCTGTGATTTCCCAAACAGAGAGGGAGTGCCAAGATCTTCTTCTTCCAAGCCGAACGTTCTGCTGGTGGTTGTGCTCTTGATCTCCTCAGAGTAATCATTGACTGGAGCTTGAGACTCAGTCTGTGTTGCGTTCAAAGAATTCTTCATCATGATGGACATTGGTTGCATTGTGAGAGGACTGTGAGGATGATGAACAGTTACAGTTGCCGACCTGAACCGAGATAAAAATGTGAGAGAGTTCAGCAGTTCATCAGCAACAACCCAGATACCAGTAACAACATTCCCATGCCCAGCGGAAGGCAGCAAGGTTCGTTGCGTTCCCCTGTCTGTACAGATTTCACGTAAAAATTGCCTTACCCAAGACAAACATTGGAAGAGGGAGGGCTTAGAAAAGCGGTATCAGTGGGCTGTTAAGCTGGGACACCTTCATCAGTACCAGTTCGGAGCACACTAGGTGATGGTCATTTTGAATTGCCAAGAAAAGATCCTCCGAAACCCTAACGACTAACGAGGGCACATACATTCATAAAAGATTCAACAGGGAAAGTGGGTGCTAAATTAAGCGAGGAAACACCTCTTATCTACTGCGGAGTGTGGAGTGTTCTTTCGGACTCTGGAGATATTTAAAGGAACCGGTTTCGATAACATAAGCCCAGAAGGATCTTCAAGATCGATCGGGATGGGGCTTTAGCACAAGGTGAGTCAAGACCGTGGCACTCTTCTGCAAGCCGCAAGCCACACAGTGCATTTCTGTACATTTCCACCAGCCACCAGCACCGCTCGACTCACTCGAGTAAGTCGTGACTGAATCGGGAAATCTTCAAAACCGATCGGTGAAAGCTACTACTGTAGTACTAGACTAGCTACCGGTAGTAGGCTGTAGTAGCTGGAAGCTTGGTTGGTATTTACTGTTATTACTTACTGTGTCGAGGGGCCCAAAAGTAGCAGTAATTGCAGTAATTCAGTAATTACTCAGTAACAGTAATATAGGTCAGTAATCTAGCCTAGTGCCAATGGCAGTAAAAGTAAAGGAATTACTGTTTACACAGGAATTACTGCAGTAATTTCAGGAACTGGCCTGAACAAGGGCCATGGAGGCCACCACAAACAAGTATTAGGGCAACATGAGTTGCAATCCAGCTTCAGCAAAGGAGGCAATGAAGCTTCCTAGGCCCTCTTGGTCCTCTTGGAGGGGGGATTCTGCTTCTCAGCAGTGGTTTTGGGGACGAAGCCACCAGGGATCCACATGTTCCAATCTAGATTGTCATCCAGACAATCACGGCTGCCCAGGACAACTTTGATCGTTGGATCAGGGAACTTCTTGTAGTAGTGATACACGAGGCCATGAAAATGGCTGTCAATCTCAAACCACTCCTCGGCATCACGGTCACTCCTCTGGAGGTTCATATCCCACGCCTTAATATTCCAGCGACTGTTGCCGCTCTGACGCAGCCAAGCCATTTCATCGTTGTCTGTGAAATATTTCTTACCAGACCAGATGTCACCGAAAGAAAGGCTTCCGTACTTGGCCATGAACTTGGTTTGCGCAGCCATGGTGCTCTGATTCATGAGGTCACTTTCCCAATCCTCCGTGAAGGCACGGTACACACGGGCATTGATCTTTTGCGGCCCCCTAATCTCGTGTCCAAAAGTCGTCAAACCAACCAGATCCAAGTCCTTTTCCTGAATAAAACGGTATTCCATTCCTTTCTTGACCGAACGACGGGTCTTGGCTCTTTCGGCACAGGCCGCACCAAACAACGTGCCCAGCATCTCTATCATCTCCGCGCTCAGGTGAGAGCGCTTCCCGGACTTGATGTGTTTGACAGCACCCCACTCACGCTCAGCATTTCCGATACCCATTAGGACTGCCGTGCAGATGCAGGCGAACTTGCCAAAGTACTTTGTGTTGGTGAGACTGTTCTTGCTGTGCCACATGGGAGTGTCGTTCTCGAAGACATCAGTTGACCGCCAGACATGGTTGCGTACACCGAAAGGGCCAGTTTTGTCCTGGAAATGCTGCCACTCTTTCCAGAATGCATCGTAAACTGTCGCTTCCCATTCTTCTTCCTCTGCAGCCGTCATATCCAAGGGTGCCAAAAGCCTCTTGACTAGCTTCTCAATGATATCTTTGTAGTAGGCGTTGATAGTCTGAGCGACGTGCTTCTGGATATCAGGATGGGGAGAACAAGCCCAAGCAGAAACGGAAATCTCGTGACCAAGCTTTTTGCTCCTCTCCTTGTAGAAAGTCTTGACTTGGTTGCCGAATTCTGCGGAGCCAGCTGAATCATCGTCGGAGTCCTCTTCCAGTTGCTGAGGTTCGTCGTCATCATCAGGTTCGTCGTCATCAGGTTTTCCGTCACCAGGTTTGTCGTCGTCATCAAGCTCGTATCCATTGAAGTCTTCATCCTCTACGTCGGCAAAGTCAATCGCAAGGTTCGTAAAGCATTCGGTTTCGATTTCCCATTCTATGTCAATGATTTCGCTCGTTGAGAAAGATGCTTGGACAAGATCGGGGACTGTAGACACCTCACCCGCCGCCTTGGCGGGCAGGTTCAAACCGCAGTAGTCCTGAAGGTCTTCGAGTAGAGCGGGGCAATGGTTCTCCAAATAATTGAGTCCGTTTCTGTACTTCTCCAAATGGTTCTGTGTCTGGCAAGCGTAGAAGAAAAGCTTGTCCATCGCAAGAGCGTTAGTGTCACAGAGACGAAGCAGACGCAATGGACAGTACATTGCCTTATTGATACATTTGATGACAACAAAGAAGTCCTTGG